TTTTTTTTTTTATTTTCACTTATTCACTTTATTTTTTGGAACATTCTTCTTTAATAACAAATAAAATTCCTAGCTCAGGCTTTTATGTTGGAACTTTATTGCCAGATGTTGTAAAACAAATGTAACTTATCCACCAAATGAATTGGAAATGTCAGCTTGTCCTACTGTCACTCTCTAAACGCAACCATGTATTTTCATGCCTGAAATTATGCAGAAATATAGATGAAACATTTTACTATAGAGCCATCTAGCAGTTATGGAACTATTTCTTTTATTCTTTTGGAGAAAAAAAAAAAAAAGACGGCATTTTCATTTGGAAAACGCAGCTTGTCTTGCTTATTTCCTTTAGATGTGTGAATCAGCCAGGTTTTCTGGTGCAAAAATCAGAGTAGGTTATAGTAGTAATGTAGAAGTCCTCACCTGTTTGGTATGGATGGCTTACTGTCTGCATCTCAACCATGAGAACCTCACCCTCAAACCTTACAGTAATTCTTGGAAACTGTGTTGTATATTCAGCTGTTCTACATATTATTCAAACTGTTCTGTTATGAAATTGTGTTTAACCATATACCTTTGACTTTTTTAAAGCAACAAGGAAAACTGGAAAATTCAAGACAGGTCATGATAAATCTTTATTTTTAAGTGCACCTAACTTGTTCTCATAAGAATTTATTTTAAGTACATGAAACATTGTAGACTGCAACTGTGCACGTGAATACCCATCTTCATCTCTCGTTTCTTTATGCAAAATTGGCATTGTCAAGGTTGTAAGGCCAAAAATCTGACCTATATTATGCAATCAGTTTACTATTCAAAAAACTTTGGGGCTTTTTTGTGTGAAGTTTGTGTTGTGTTTTGTTTGTTTGTGTTTTTTTAAAATGTGCACTGGTTATTTTAAACCATGCTCATGGGTATGTGCCTACAGTTAGGCTTTTCTGTCTTCTACTTCTTGGGTCAGTCCCTGTCTGCAGGTGGGAAAAAGAAGTTGTCAAAGTTCTGCTTTTTGGAAAAGGAAAAATGGGAGAAGTGTTAATTGAGAACTTACCTGATCACAGCTGCAATTTTAAGCCATGACAGTTAGTTCAATTGTTTGGTTTGCCAACCTTGACAGTATCATTTCTATCTTTATGAAAATATTAAGATGTTTTAAAGTTGATAAAGTCTCAGTCAATGGGGGAGATGTATTTAGACATTGGTTGAGTTTGTTTGATCAGTTTTCCTTCAAAAACAAACAGAAAAGCACTTGGAACCTAACTGCAGAAGGCCAGAATTTGTGGTCTGGGAAGGGAGAACTACAAGCAGTTCTTGGGATCTAAGCCATAGTTACAAATTCATTTTCCTCAACTTTGAAATAACTGTAATAAATCAGCTATTGCCAATACTGAATTATCTTAGGTGTTTTGAAATTGTCCTCTGAAAGTTTTGAAAACAAAAACTAGCTCACAAAGTAATTGTTTCTGAAGAACAAAGCTTCAAACAAAAAAGCAGAAATAAAATAGCCTACAGTGTCCAGGTTTCCCAAGTCGGTGAAATGCAGATCTAGGTTTTGCAAAGCATTTCCGTAGTAATGCTGCAAGAGGCAGTCCACGTGTGAGCAGGGGGCAGGAGGAGGATGTGGCACATCTCACCTAAATTACTGCATGAACTTTTTGTGATGGGTCACTTTCGTAATAGGTAATGTATGTTATAAACAGGGCCTTTCTGAAGCTTTCTTAATAGTAAATTAGCTTGCCAAAGATTTGTTAACTGCAGATGTGTAACTAGGTTTGCCTTAGATTTTCCCTGAGTGCTCAGAAGAGCTCTAAGTGAGGGTGACTTGCATTGCCGGTGGTTGGAAGAGTAGCCTGAAAAGCAGTGGCAGATGAAGTGCTGCAAAAGGATGCTAAACTGATAGTTTCTGTCCTGGCATTTGAACCGCTCTGCCTGCTAGCGCTGCTCACAAACACGTGCTGCCACGAGCATTGCCGTTCTTTTCGGCTAGGCTGAGCGTAGGCATGAATCTAGCATGTTCGTAGCTGCTTGAAGAAATGTGGTCACCGGGCCAGCCCACAGCCTGTTCATGTTACTGGTTTAAACAGATTTTGGTAGCCCTTGGATTCACATGAATGCCTTCCTCCAGAATCAGGATTTTAGATTAGTTTATATTCAAGTAAACTCCTTCATAAGACATGCTTTCATTAAAGTATAATGTGTACATCTTCTCTGAAGATGACTTACTCTCCCTTGGCGATACAGTATGTGTTAGATTTTTAATGTCATGGTTGATAGTCTTTTTTTTCCCCAAGGTGATTTCTGGAGCATCTGCAAAGTATTCAGTAAGTGCCATTCACAGTACTGTTTTTCCACATTTTTCAGATATATCGGGAAGTCAGATTCAATAACAATCAGTGTGTGGAATCACAAGAAAATTCATAAAAAGCAGGGAGCTGGTTTTCTGGGTTGTGTGAGACTTCTTTCAAACGCAATCAACCGCCTTAAAGACACTGGTTGTAAGTAAGCTCAAGACTAGAGTTTCTTCTCTTTCAGGCCAAACTTTCATGCACAGACTTTTGAAAAGTGACAATTAATTGGGTTTTTGGGGGTTTTTTATAAAGCTTCTATATTCCAATTGGTTTGGTAGTTTGTAATGTTGTTTTGTGGCTGAGAATAGCATGAGTAGGTTAGAGAATGTAACTTACCTTTGGCTTTTCAACTTCTTTGCCCCGTTACCACAGACAGTGGTAACTTCAGTGCCACAGTCTGGTTGTGGATTGTCAAGACTGAACTTACTGTGTTGGAATTCCAAAGGAAGACAGATTGTAATTACCTTCAAATTATCTTTTTATTACCTTCAAAAATGCAAGTCTTAAGGGGTAAACAAAAGGGTAAATCTATCTTGAAGCCAAATTTGTAGTTTAAAAATTAATGGGCATTCAAAATTAATTAGTAAATTTTGTCATAAGATATTAAGTGCTTTATAACACTTTGAGCACTTTGTATTTACTTTTTCAAAAGTTAATTAACATGTAAGATGCTGTTTTCTCATTATCCTAATAGGTGCCATTTACTTCTGAACAAAATTTGGCACACTGTTTGTGATGGAAAAGTAGTGCTTGGTTACAGATAATTTTTCTCATTATCCTAATAGGTGCCATTTACTTCTGAACAAAATTTGGCACACTGTTTGTGATGGAAAAGTAGTGCTTGGTTTTACAGATAATTTAAAAAAAAAAAAGAAAGAAAGAAAAAAGTGACATGCTGGTAGAGAAGCATTGTGATTTTTACCTTCAATAACAGGTTCCTTGGTGATAAAGGCATAACCGAAGTTCTCACTTTCAAATATTTGTCAGTAGATCAGTGCTTCGGTGCATTGTGCTTTGCTCAATTTTATTAAGTTCTACCTATTTAGTGCAGAACACGTGGATTGATGCTGCAGGTCAGCTCAGTGCTGTACTAATATGAGTGTTGAACTGGAAGTGCATTATGGCAATGGCTGGTCTTCACAAGGGAAGAGTTCAAAATACTTCTTATAATCACTTCAGACATCCAATCTAGGATAATGTCCTTTCCTATTCATCAAAAGAGCTTTGTGAATGATGTTAAAGCAGAAGTACTCTAGTCCTGTTTTCTGATTTAAAATTATGAAAGAGGAAGTCTTGGCTGAAGATTTTTAGTTTTGCTTCCCTTCCCCCATCTCTTGAAGTCTTAACTATCTTACACTAGGCTGAATTTTGTTCTGATGGTACTCCAATGTGCCTTTCAAAGGCAGCAAAATATTGTATGACTTACGCTTTGTGTCCTTGTTTCGTAGATCAGAGATTGGATCTGTGCAAGCTTGGGCCAAACGACAATGATACTGTTAGAGGACAGATAGTCGGTAAGTAAGGGTTTTTATCTTTTTGTTCTCTTGGAGCTTAGTAGTAGCTATAGAAATACTCTTCCTAGATGTCAGTTTTCTGTATTGAATTTTTTTTTTCAAGTTCAGTGTCTAGTGCCAGAGCCATTTGGACCTCAAGCTAGAAGTGTGTATGTAGAGAATTAAAAAAACAAAACAAAACACCCAAACCACCCCAAAAAAACCCAAAACAAAACACCCCAAATATTATCGTACGTGTTGGGACAGATAAGACCATAGATAATATGACATTTATTTAGAAAGTTTTTAATTTCACTGTAAAGAATGGTGACAGTTTGAGCCTGAAGTCCCTGTGAAAAACTGACTACGAATTTCTTGGCTACTGAGAGTTCCAGCAAAGCTGTGCTTCCTGTAGGCTTTGCAAAAGGGTAAAACATCTTGCTGTAACAGGAGTGAGTTGCTGTCTGGAATGACTGAGTCAATTCAGTTTGTGTTTTCACGGGTTATTAACAAGTCTGTCACCAATCTCAGTAACTGTGCTTTGTCATTCTGCTAACTCATAAACCTTAAATAACTTAAGAATTAAAAAGAAGCTGGCAAATTGAAAAGCGAGTATCCACAAACAACTTCATAAACACTCTCTTTTTAGTGCATTGTAAGTTGTTTCAGAAGGCAGCGTTTCTAGTAGGTCACTTAAGTCAAAAAGTTGGTCTTTATTTTTATGGCAAGATGTTAATGAGAATATTTGGACATGGGGGAAGGAAAAGTGAATTTGCACACTCAGTTTTGTGTTCAAATAATATCCAAGCAGCATTCTTGTTTTGTCAGCCAGGGAAAACTATCGAAATATCAGTCGGCAAATAAGGGCTTCAGTGCATTTGTTTGCTTTCCTCAAAGTGCTCTGTTGAATAATACGTATGACTTTACCTCTTTATGTTGCTTTAACCATTTGTCTAGCATCTGATCTGCAAGTGTTTGCACAGTATTAAGATAAGAGTGAGGTGGCACAGGAGAGTCAAAGGATGGTAGAAATGTGGAGTCCTAAGTGCATTGCTGACACTTCAGACCACTCTTGAATATTAAGTTTTCCATGTGAGCTTGCACAGAAGAGTAAAGGATAAAACGGTCATTTTTCTAGGGTGCGTTATGTTGTCAGCTTGATTTGCTTTTTGGTTTTCCTCCAGTATACTGGTCCCCGATCATCTGTGCTGTATGCACGCAATTTTGTTTGTGGGGTTTCTTTTAAGAGGAAACTGAGCTCAGCTGAGAGGAGAGCTTGTTCAGGGTCTGCTCCAGGCAGCAGAGATCCACTCTGCCCACAGCAGTCCTTCAGGCATGACACTAGCAGGGACTGTACCCTCACACCGTGCCGTGCTCTCATGCTGCCCTCCAGAGTATGCTCCTTGTCATCAATACTTGAGAATGCTAGCATTAATTAAACAAGCCAAAAAACCCACCCCAAAGCAGAAAGGTCTCAAGGCTATTGGGATGCCAGATGGGAAGCCTGAGGCAAATACCGTGTAGTGTGGGCATGGCAAATACACTTCAGAGATAACTAGTTGTCAGAGATAACTAGTCAGCAGTGTGGGCATAAACTAGACTGACCAGTTGGCTTAACCTGATATGATCATGAACAGTGGTATAGCCAAAGCGGCATTAACTCTTTTGGCATGCTGCTGGGGCTGTCCCTCATTAGCAGGAGCTGCTGGGTGGTGCATTGAACCTAGAACATAGAACCTATGTTCTGCTTTGCGCTGCTATCGTCAGAAAGGTCAGGTTTCCTCAGTCATGGCTGTGTTTTAATGCATCCTTGGTAAGATTCCAGAGACTGCTGTATTTTTTTTTTTTGTGAAATTGTTGTTATTAATCTCCTTATATTTTAATCTTTCTTCACTAATGCAATTTTGTTGAATGCGTGAATGAGCCTGAGTAAAACTAGATAATTCCACTGCAGTAGTTACATGGTGGAGATATCTTGGTTAAAAATAAGTAAGAAGATAGAATAAGTTATAAATATACTCAGTCCTTCTAATGATAAACTGGCTTAAACTAAGAGGCTATGCAAGATTGGAAAACAATATTAAAATGTAATTGATACCTTCAGCAGATGATAACCTAATGAATCAAGTGCACAGTGGGTATGCCTTTATAATTTGGGACAGGGAGCAAGGGGATCTTTATCTTAAATACCTGGGGTTATCTTCAAAGGGGGGAAGAAAAGGGGACACTTGTGAGTAGTGGATGCAAAGGGCACCTGAACTGTGTCTTAATCTTGCAGCTCTCTTCTGTGCCACCATTTTATTTCTGATGTGGCGGTGCAGAAAAAATGAGTCCTTACTCATTACAAAATGAAGCCGTGCACAAATTTTGGTCCTCACATAGGCAAAGAGGAGGTAATTGCCTTTGTTTAGTTTCATTTTTGTCTGTGTGTATTGCTTGCCAAACCTTGCCTACATGCAACAACGTGAACTTGTAATGTGTGGGTTTGTTGCAGAATAAATAGATCATCTATGATTTTGTTTTGGTTGAAATTAAATTTAAAGTGTCTTTCACTGTAAGAAGTTGCTTTGGTAACGTTTAGTGTTTGTGGAAGACTAGGAGTTAATATTGATTAGGAATAAAGCAAGCAGGTACTGCAGGGCTCTCTGGGTTGGTCTGTTGAAGGCCCCAAATCCTAAGCTTCAAAACATGTTGTTGAAAACTTGAACTCTAGCAAAATTTGCTAGTAGTACTGCATCTTTTTGTAACTTTGTGATGTTGACAAAAGTTTGGTTGTGTCTAGATTAAGGTCTGTAAGTTTATTCACTTCTTAGGACTTGAAGACAATTTTCCAGAGGTACAGTAGTGCCACCTCAAGAAATGTGTGCCACAGCACGTATCTAGCTTTTTAAGTAATCGTTTTATTGTTAAAGGCAAAACAAAACATCAAAAAAACCCCAACCCCACAGGAACACAAGTGTCGTAAATTATCAGATTGGACACTTGCAAATTATGATACTGGGAACAAAAGCTGCCCAAAAAAATCTTTGTTTTCATAATTGTAGTACAAAAGCTTCAGGCATAAATATCCATTACAATGAACCATGTAAAAAATAAAAATTAAAAAAGAAGTAATACAGTTTTGCTGAGGGCTGTAAGGGCTTTCAGGGTGCTGAGCGCTGCTTTGTGTGGGAGTTGCATTTAACTTCTTACCACTGGTGTTTGAAAGTAGCCAATAAACCAAACGTGTAGTGCTGCTAGCAGTTAAGTTCCGCCTGGTTTTGTCTGTGCGTGTACATGTGTGTGTTGAATCCCACGCGCACACAAAATACATAAGAAGGTGTCGAAAACATGCAGGAATTTCTTACTTTAGGTCTTTCTATTAGCAGTTCTCCCGTTAGCAGCGCAAGCCTGGTGCTAGCACTCTCCCGCTTGCTCTCCCAGCCGTGTGTGAGGTTAGCCACCCTGCTGCCGCCAGACGAGCCACGCAGCTCCGCTGTGTCACAGTCTGTCTCATACGGAGAAAAATTAATGACAGCTTCAGACTTAACTTCTTTTTCTGCCTTAACTTGCATTCCTATTCTTCAAGCTAACTTTTTTGAAGTAGTATGTAGAGAATTATATGTATGAAAACATACACTGTTTCTGTATAACTTTGATTTGTGGGAAGGGAAAAAAATATCCAGAACATGCAGCTTAGTCCTCTAAGTTGTACCATTTCTCTTTCAAATATAACTGTAATTTGCATTCAGATGTCGTATCTTTAATAATTCTTTTATTATCTTAATAGTAAGTCTTCAGTCCAGAGACCGAATAGGCACAGGAGGACAAGTGGTGGATTGCAGTCGGTTATTTGATAATGATTTACCAGACGGGTAAGCTGACATCACTGCGGTGTAAATACAAATACAGCTCATACAACAGACTTTTGCGGTAATGCGAATTCAGTGTACAAATAGGCTAATTTATTTTTATTCTCGCACTCTAGAGTTCTACAGTTTTGAATTTAGGAGCAGCAGATAAGCCAGCCAGGCTACACAGAATAGTTAATAGTTTGACTCTTGTCTTGTCTCTTCTTGGAAAACGGGAGGTGGCATAGATGAGTAAATGCGTTAAAAAATACACTCGTCTAAGAAGACGTCTTTCAAATTATAGAACTGATAAACTAATATAATGTTAAATCAGCCAGCAAACTGACTTCATCCACATAGTAGTTTTGTAGCAAGGTAGTGGACACACAGGCCTGGCTGTCTTCTGCAGCGCGGTGCAGAGGTATACACTGTTATGAAAAATGGGTCACTTTTTCTTCTATGTAAATCATAGTGAAGAAAACGTGATTGGAAAAGGTAACGGAGCCTGAGTTCTTGCTGTATTTACCTGCCAAAGACTGGGTTTAGGATTTTGATTTGTCCCTGTGAGAGTTAATGACATCATTAACACCTAAAACAGTTTTGCGAATACAGAAAAATGCTCTGTTTTAGGTTCTGGTGCTGTCATCAGCTTTTTCAGAGCAAACACAGACCTTCTGAATGTGATTCTTGGCAGGTAAAGACAGGAGAAACTGATTTTTTCAGATGATGAATTTTAAAACATAAATTATCATCTAAGTCCTAAACGGCATTCTTTTGTTAATTTGGAGTCTAGAGAAGTCAAAAACACTTTTGAAAATGCTTTTAAATTTTCACTTCAAAATGTTCCTTGTATAAATATTGCTTACTTAATTGTGTAACTGCAAAGCTATCTGTGTAGCCTCATGTATTTTGGAGTGCAAAAGTAATAATAATTAAAAAGTCACGTTATTTGAAGGTGACTTTTTAATGAAAGCAAGTAGTGCGCGAAGATACTATGAAAGCACTGACTAGGATCGGTGGTCAAAAAAGTTAAATGCGTTATTAAACATGATGTTTTCAAGAAGTTTCTTTATATGGCTATTTGGATTTAATTAGAATTCAAATAGTTATTGAACAGCAAAAGTAATAATAATTAAAAAGTCACGTTATTTGAAGGTGACTTTTTAATGAAAGCAAGTAGTGCGCGAAGATACTATGAAAGCACTGACTAGGATCGGTGGTCAAAAAAGTTAAATGCGTTATTAAACATGATGTTTTCAAGAAGTTTCTTTATATGGCTATTTGGATTTAATTAGAATTCAAATAGTTATTGAACACGAAGTGATGATATGATGTTTTCAAGAAGTTTCTTTATATGGCTATTTCGCTTTAATTAGAATTCAAATAGTAACAAGAAGGTTTCTTTATATGGCTATTTGGATTTAATTAGAATTCAAATAGTTATTGAACACGAAGGTGTGATGATATGCCTGGTTCCAAGGGAAGGATATGTAAAATCAATTTTGAGTTGAACTCTCAGTTGTTTCCTGTTACCTTGTTCAGCTAAAATGATTCATAATAGTGTAAGTCTTCCTGAGTTGGCATTTATGGTGGAAACATTTTGTGCCCTGGTTTCCTGGAAATACCACTCATTGCCTTATCTCTCAATGTCTGAATTCTAGGTGGGAGGAGCGGAGGACTGCTTCTGGAAGGATCCAGTATTTAAATCATATTACACGAACAACTCAGTGGGAGCGACCAACACGGTAAGAAATGACTGAGGAGACTGTGCATATGATGAAGTTTGCTTGCTGACCAGCGGTGCTGAGCACAAGCGATTCTAAGTGACTCTAACAGGGGATATCCAGCATTCTTCCGAGTCACTCTAGAAACGCTGTATGCTTTTCTTCTCTAACATCCTACTCCTTCAGTCTGTCTAATATTTAACTCAGAAGAATCATTCTGACTAGATTTTTTTCCTCCCCTAATACTAGCATCTTTGTTTTCTTGTAGAGCTGCTATGGTAGAACTCTGTAAATACAGACATTACAATGTGCAGACATCGTAAGGGATGAAGAAAAAAGATCATGAATAGCTGACGGACATTGTCTATGTACATGCTATGACCATGTAATGCAGAAATTTTAAAGCTGATTGTTACAGAGCGTGTTTTGAAATCATTATGATCACCTTTTCTAATAACCATAGATGCGTGTTGCGAAGCTGTTCCTCAAACCAGTTTTGCTGTTACCTGAATTGTAGACAGTGTCAGTGCATATTTTTCAGACTCTTCTGCAGACCGTCTGTGCCTGCAGACTGTCTCTTCCATCCTCAATAAATATTATTCCAGTCTCTGTATGGATATATTTGACTTAAAATAATCTGTACTGTTAACGCTGCCAACTGTGATACATATTTGCGGTGTTCAAGTGAGTGAAGGTACTGAACAGCTTTTTAATTTATCTATCTGTATTTTTCTTGGTATGTTAAAATACCTATTCTAAGCTCTAGACACATTTACAGTAGAAAAACACATGCAAAATGTATAACTTGTTTCGGGGATTTCCTGCATCCTTATCAATCCCCCTTTAACCCATTTTAAGTCCTTTGGAAAGCAGCATTGATATACGAAACCACATAATTCAATGTTTCATCTTGCAGTCAAGCTCTCAAGAGCAACTGTTTTTTATCTTAGCCCTTTTTCACCATCCTCGCCTAATAACCTTCCTTAAAAATTAAAAGGAATGACAAGGCCTGATCGCTTCCTTAGCCGTATGAAGACAAGGTGAGAAAGTCTGGGCTGTATGCTGCTTGTTTAAAAAAGTAAGAAAAAAATTTTGCTCTCAGCACTCTGTTTAAGGTGGGAACTGCTCATGTGAGCATTTGATATGGTCTTGATCCTGCAGCATCATATACAAAGTGTCAGGTCAGACCCTAAGATAGGTGAGGAAGTTTACTAATTACTCTGGGATGAACCCAGTGAGCGCAGAACAGAAGCTTTCTGCCCATCATCGAGGTATCCTGCCCAACAAGTTAACTGCTCAGTTCTGCTGTCCACAAAGATTTCCTGAGAGCCCCTAGCTGAAGCTTCCGTAAAACGCGTTGTGGAGCCCTGCGTCCAGTCAGCTGTGCAATTTTCATGTTTTTCCCCACAGGCCAGCATCTGAATACTCCAGTCCAGGCAGACCGCTGAGCTGTTTTGTGGACGAGAACACTCCAATTACAGGAACGAACGGTGCGACCTGCGGGCAGTCGTCGGATCCCCGGCTGGCGGAGAGGAGAGTCAGGTCGCAGAGGCACAGAAATTACATGAGCAGGACACACTTGCACACTCCTCCCGATTTACCTGAAGGATATGGTATGCAAATTAAAAATTTTTAATTGTAGGTCTCCCAAGAAACTGGGAAAATGGGTTGTGTCTTCTCATATGTAAGATCCTTTTGATTCCTTAGTTTGGGGAAATCAGTCTTTGTGAGTGTTTTTTAATTGCATTTTTTTATTCTTACAGTTATTAATTAATCTTGATTTCACAGAGCAAAGGACGACTCAGCAAGGTCAGGTCTATTTTCTGCATACTCAGACTGGTGTTAGCACGTGGCACGATCCAAGAGTACCTAGGTAAGAAAATGACGAAAGTATCCTTAAGGTGTCAAATCAAAATAGCTTAACCAGTACTGTCCTCAGAGTTCTCTGTCTGGTATTATATTTCTGACTCTTGGTCCCTAATATATCACTTTAACAAGTAATTAATCAAAATAATTTAGTCAAAATAAGTTAGTCTCTCAGTTCTTCAAATCGTTATTTTAATGCAAAGATTGAGAATCAAGAAATAAATTATGGTGGTGTTTTGAAAACAGGTATAGTTAACTGATTCTAGATCTTGCATATGAATTATAGCCAAGTCCAGGTTTTAATACTCTGCAAAATAATGAAACAAAAAGAGGGTTCTGAGCACGTGCAAAAATCTAGATTTATTGAGATACTTCAGTGAAAACTGGGTTGGTTTTGTCTTTTAATTCAGGCTCTGGAAGTTAACAAGACCTGAGAAATTGGCAACATATATTTATGAAGAACAAACTTTGTGACAAATAGTCTAGAGAAATGTGATCATTTTTGATGGAGGAGCAGACAAAGGGGAAAACCTGAAAAATCTAGTGGATGCCCCTTGTATGTTTAGACACGCTATTTGTAGTGAACTACAGTCTCATCATCAAATTAGCTTAAATTTACTTGTCTGTGGGAATTATTGTCCCATGTTCAGACTACCAAATGTAATTTACTCAAGGAATGGGAAACTTGGTACATTTTGAAGAAACTAATCGGAGACACTGGGTCATCAAAAGCCTGGAAGCTGAAATGGTGAGCTGTGTTTGAAGTGTGAAAGTGCCAGGATGTTGGGCCTTTTTAAAAAAAGGAAGGGGAAAAAAAAAAAGTAGTTTTTTCCATTTGAGTGTAGTAGCAAACATCTAAAAATGCACAGGCTTTTTTACAGCAGGCTTCCTGTTGCAGAGCAGAAATGAATGCTTATTTTCTTTATAATGCTCTAACACGGATATTCCTAGAGCAATCATATATGCTTTCAAGCATCTCATTAGCAGTATATAAATGGGAAAGAATTTGGGGGAGAGGGGCAAACAGGTAGAGAAGCTGAGAGAGACTGACCTGTGATTAAAATACTCAAACTGCTATTTCTGTTGCGGCTATCTCAACACCTAGGAGAAAATAAATCTGAAGTGTCCTTTTAGTTTAGTGTCTTTATTTACACGACACACACGTGTACATATTGCACGCGTGATTATTTCTGATGTGTTTGAAAGGAAAGAAGGATAACAGGGAAATTATTGTTAGCTTCTGATTGTTCTTTCGAAAACCAAGAAATCCTGTTGAAAATGATTGCCTCCTAGAGTCTCTGGATGGTGTTGTAAAATAGTGTGTGTAGTTTGAAATTGGCAGCCGGTATTGGCATTTATGAGAATTGTAGCAACTTTGTCAGTTGCTGCTGGTGTTCATTCCCATGGAAATGGATTTTGGATATCCCGGGAAGGATGAAGTGCCTCATGGCCCTAAGTTCACTGCGTTTTCGAATGATTCTCTTGTTTTTATTACTACTCTTGTGTTACAAGAATATACTTTGCTTTGATGCATTATCTGTATACTTGAGAGTGGGATACAGCTGGCAGTTGTGCGTTAGGAAGTCTGCTCCCACGACTTGTGTATTATACAGAACTAGAAACTAGACTTCTTTAACATATTAAGATCTAATCCTTAAGTTTGCAGTGTAATAGTTTTGTACAAAGTCTAAGTTAGCACTGCTTTTAGGTGTGGCAACAGAAACGGCACGAGTGTCTCTGAGAACAGAATTTGGCTGTTTGCATGAGGATAGAGTTTATGTCATTTCTAAGGAATATTGTATTTTTACGCTAATATGCCACAGTCATTTAGTTAATAAAAATAAGCCCTACAGTTCAGCTGCAGTGTGTATATGGGTAATGTCAGCAGAAGTTCAATCCCAGAGCCTTGTATTTCCATTAGTGGCTTCTCAGCCTTTTGAGTCCCTGCAGACGGCATCTTTAGCCATTCTGCCCCTCGGCTCTTTCCTTCCCTCAACTCACATCGTACCAGGAGATCTGAAGACTTACCTCACACTGTCAAGTGCAGCTCTTTTTAAAGGTGTATCTGAGGTGTGAATTATATACATGAAAAATCAGTAAGTGTACATTTTTGAAGAGTAGTATTTGTTTTCAGTGAACCACCGGAATGAATCTACGTCTTCCTAATTTCAGCAGAATTTTCTTGAGACCCATTAAGATATCCCTGCATTGCTCAGTGCAGAGCTGAGTCATCGTTCATATAATATTTTATTTGAAATAGTTTCTTAGAGAGCTGTTTGCTTCCCGCTAGCACTTGGGGTTTTGGGGCAAAACTGCCTGTGGCATACACGCATATCCCATGCGTAATTCTTCATGGAAAGTATAACTCTTCAGAAATATAGTTTTGTTTTGTAGGAGTTTTTAAAGTGTGATTCAGAGTTCCTTACATGACTAATGTTTTAAAAATGTTTTCTGTCAGAATTGGTGTAGAACTGCAATTCCATTTTGGCAAATATGGCAATGGTCTTTATTTTTGTTATAAGCCTGTATTAATTTAACATCTGAAGTTAGTTTGTAAAAATGAAGGTTATTTGATAAGAATTTTTTTCCCCACGGCATGTGTTCTGGGTGTGTGTTTTTTCTTTGGTGGGCTTGCACCTTGGGAGTAGAGATTCCAGCTGAAGAGATCAAATTTCTGAAACAATACATTTTCTCAGACTTGATGGAATTGTTCTGTTACATTTACGCTTGTTTGGCTCGGAGGCCAAATGCTGAGGTATTTTTCATTTTATATTTGTTTTCACAGGGATCTTAGCAACATCAATTGTGAAGAGCTTGGTCCACTGCCTCCTGGATGGGAGATCCGAAATACAGCAACAGGCAGAGTTTATTTTGTTGACCATAACAACAGGACAACACAGTTTACAGATCCACGGCTATCTGCTAACTTGCATTTAGTCTTAAAGTAAGTCTAAAGTCTCCGGCACATGTTGAGTCTAATAGAGGAAAGAAAGTGACTCTTGAGGGGTGCTAGATTTTATATCAAGATGTATTCTGCCATTCAGTAGTATTTAAAGTATAGTAACTGTGTTCTTTAACACACTACCAACTTACTCTGTTACATAACAGAGAAGACAGGTTTGATGGTTCTTGGAAAAAAAAAATCTCTAGCAGCATTTAGGCAGGAATGTGGCTATTGTGATGCTGGGAGTTGGGGGCAGCAGCGGGGGAAGCAAGTGCTGTCTGGTGGAAAAGATTGGACCATAAAATTTTTTCGAACAGCAAGAGAGACACTTTCTTTCCTTTTCTTTATACATCATACTACTTTCAGTTATGCACTACTTGTTTTAAATTATGACGTTGCATTCAATAGCCAGGGGTATGAAATACTGATGATTTAAGCAAGCGCACAAGTGCCCAGCTATTCTCTTGGAATAAAGGAGAAATAATTCAGCTCCTGTCTTCAGTTTTAAAGTAAGACTAGTTGAGAAGTTCTCAAAATAAGACCCCAGTAGTTTAACTCAGATTTTTTTACCAAAAGAATAAAATAAAATAGGAACTGTATTTTTTCTGCCTGAGTGTTCTGATATCGCATTTTCATATTACACTTTTAAAAAGAGAAGGGGAAACTCAAAAGGAGTTGTTCTTATTAAACAACTTTTATTAAAGACTCTTGTTTTTATTCCCTAAGTGCTCATTTCACACTGGAGGATTTTCTACTAAAAATGGAAACCAAAAAGGAAGCAAACACTTTTTTTTTTTTTTTTGTGTAGACATGGCTATCAGTTTGTCCGAGCTATTTGAGAGTCTGACTCTATTGTTTCTCCTCCTAACACCTTTTAATACTCTTGGGAAACACCTGTAAAGTATTGAGTAGGTGTTAAGTGGAAGAAACAATGAAGAGTTGGTTAGATAGAAAGCCGCACAGCCCTGGGCAAGGAGTAGGTAGGAGGAATAGTCCTTTTAAGGAAGTGAATCATTGGGAAGAAAAGCTGAAGGAAAGAATAATGGGAACAAGCACTGAAAAGACAAAATCGAGGAATGGAAAGTAATATCCAGGAGGTCAACATATATTTTGTGTAATACATAAAAGCTGGCTAGCCTTTGCCCAATACACATTTCAACTTAACACTCCAAGAGGGAGAAGAGTCTAAATATTGACAGATATGTATTTTGTTTAGAGAAATCATTGGTTATATACGTGTATATTACAGAACTTCAGTAAGCTCCCATCATCCAGACACTCTTGGTTCTTTTTTTTAATTTAAAACAAAGAAATCACTACTAATTTTAGCTGAATTTACATTGGTAGTTTCAAGTGAACATGATCTTAAAAAAAAAAAAAAAAAAAAAACTTACTAGTGTGGAGGAACATGTTCATGTTCGGTACACCAAAAGGTTCATTAAATTAATTCAGATTTAGATATTTTGCCCGAAGGAAAACTTCAGACCCTCTTAGCTACAACAGTGCAATTCTTAAACTGTAGAAAATTCAGTTAACTGGACTATATTTGAAAAACTGTCCTTCACAGGTAGGTTTATTTTTAAATGGCAGCAGGGTCATAGTGGCTAGTTCTACGTGTATTGTGGAGGGCAGGTACATAGCTAGCTTTTTATCTGGAGAATCCAATTTGACTTTCAAGTCCCAGAATCACAGAACCATTCTGCATTTCTTTAAACTTAAGTACTACTACAGCGTGCTTAAGTTTTTCATTTGTACATCTGTCTTTCATTAGGGAAGGATTTCAGAAATTCAACCAACAGTGTCATCAGTAAAGTCTGCTGCCTGATAAATCTTTTCTGGTGTTTATTCTTTTATTGCACCAAACAGGATATGTGAAAGCTTCCCCCCCACCCCCCGTAACCCATCTCCTTACTTATTCTTCAAAAAAAACCCCAAAACCAAAAAAAGTAGTTTGCCTTAGGCCTGTCATTTTGTAAATTATCTGAGAAATAAGTTTAGTATTTGGGTGGGATGGGTGTGATAGTGTTTTAGGTTCAAAGGCATAATAAAAAGTATCACTTTACCTCAGTGATACTGACTTTTCTATCGAGCTGAGTAAAGCAGTTTGTTCTTCTAGTGATGACATTATAAGTTATGAAAATAATCAAAGTTGTTTCCCAGTTCTGTTTTAAAATATTGGCCAAGAGTTCATGATAGCTTTTGATAGTTATGGCACCTGAAAAGTGCTTAGCTATATCCTTAAAGCACTGTACAGAATCAAGCATAGTCATTCAGCTGTGAAAACAAACTAAGAAATTAGATTTAATGACTTTAAGCACTGCAGATTTTTTAGCTAATACTGCACTGATTATTTTTAGTCTAACATGGAGGATGGCATTTTATTTTTCTCCTCCTAGTACTGCCCTATTTTAGATTGGTTTAATTTGATGCGTAGATCTTAAGTTCACGCTCATTTCAGAGATTACATTTTCTTTACGACCGACATTGACTAGCTTTGTGTTTAGGGGACTGCGTCTCTTTTACTCTCAAAGGTAGTATGAACACATGCTCACTTTAGTACATAATTATGACCTTCTCTGGTAGGCATATACAAGGAATAATTTCACATGCTCGTCCTTATGGAATTAGAAAGTTCAGAAGATAGAACAATGATTGTCCTTTAATTTGTATATAAAATAAATACAGTTTAAGTGAGATTCATACTTAAAACTAATCGCAAGTGGAAAGAAAGTGCCATGCATGTAGCACAAATGACATAAAGCCCTAGTCTGGAACCACATGGAGTGTGTGTCTAAATTATTGTAATGACTTGCTTTCTCAGGAATGACTTAAAATAACTGTAGTTTATTGTAAGACCGATGTGATCAGCTTGAGAATAAAGTTAAGGTAGCTTCACTTAAACAAACAGCAGAAGCAAACAACAAAACATGGCATAACTAACAAAAGCGATGAAGCTAACTTCTGAAGTTCTGCATCCTGGGGCACAGTAACAAAGTAGGATTTCTGTGCGTCATTCCCTCCTTAGAGCCCAGGAGTAAAGAGGTATTATTATTAATATTAAGCTTTGAGTTATTGCTGAAGGGATCTACAATGTGTGCCGTTGCAGGGGTTTCTAAATGTTACGCTTGTAAGAGTACTGATAAAGATTTCCTGGTCACCTGGTGTTAGTTTCCCTTGAGGGTGGTCTGTGCAAAATTGCTTTAAATAGAAGGTTTGCAAATGACAGAATAGCTGTCAGAACCACAAGGCAAACTGGGAACACCCCCACCCCTTTTTTAGTTGCCAATTCTGAATGTTCCTGTGGTAAAAGCCTGCTGGAGGTGAATTTTGGTTGGCCGGGACAGCCTTTTAGTAAACCTCGTTTCAAAACAGACAACAGGCTGAAATTTTAAAGTATATTAAAACTGTGTTTGGTTCTATCGAATATTTTTGGTCTTTGATGTTGGAAAAAACCCAATTTATTAATATTCCACTGGAAAACATTCTGAATTGTAACCTTTCTTATTTATCCAGTAAATTTAGGGTATTCCTATGTGTTCCACACAGAGATATTCTTCTCACGGTTTAGGTAAAATACCACTTTTATCCTGTGTTGATTGGAAATGCCATACTAAAAAGCTACAAAAAAGCCACTTACTGCGTACAAGAAGCGACATCTCTGCAACACGATTAATTTAGCTTTCCTAGTAAGAAGTTAGATTTGCAAAGTCTCTTAGAATTGCTAGTAAAAATACTTGTTTATCTGTGCCAATTAGTTACATGTGAACTCCCACATTCCTGTGGTCCAGACTAGGCCAGGTACAAGGGACAAGGTCCTTGCCAAGCTGCCAGTACAAACATCTTTTTGTAAGCTTACTCTTTTTCAGACAAGCCATTTAAAACAGACTATGGTATTGACTGTAGATTAGAGGCATAGTGTTTGGCAGATCCCTGAATTTTAAAATGGAGGAAGGCAAAACACGCAAAGGAAATATGGAAATGGTATCTGAGAAATTCAGTGTCAGCAGCTTAGTAGTAAAATTGCATGGATAATACCTTATTATATAGTGCTATAACCTTTTACATACTTTGTAGAGTAGTACTAATAGAAATAACAAACCCTAAAAACAACTGGTAGTTGCCAAGAAAGACAGAAGCATATGTCTTTAGTCAGGATAAAATCTCTCTGAATTTATTTTTTACTGGACCTGGACATTTTTAGCATAATCACAGTAATAATCATAGTAAATTGAAAGTAGTTGAGTTACAAAGACTTAACCTTTAAGAAACATCTGAAGAAAATAGGGGACGTATGACTTGAATATCTGCAAACAGCTGTGTTTGTTTCTAGCCGCCAGAATCAACTCAAAGATCAGCAACACCAGCAGCAGCAGCAGGTAGTGTCCCTGTGTCAGCTTCCAGATGAGGCAGAGTGTCTGACTGTGCCAAGGTACAAGCGAGACCTAGTGCAGAAACTCAAGATCCTGAGGCAAGAGCTGTCACAGCAGCAACCTCAAGCTGGCCATTGTCGTATTGAGGTCTCCAGGGAAGAGATTTTTGAGGTAATTTGAGAATTTGTCCCATTTCTTAACACTGAGGGAAGGGGAGGAGGGTTGTTCGTAACTGTCTAAAGAAGTCATTCAGTTAGATGAAATCTTGAAGTCTGGAGTTCAAGCTGGAATGTTACGGGTGGCGAATGGAAGAGGAAGCATTTCAAGGGGATGTTAAGAACAGTTGTGTACTTAAAGTAGGTGTATTTACCCTGTAGAGACGAAGAAAAACGAGGAAAGCTTTCCCTGTGGCTGGAGATGTACAGACTGTGTCAGGGGCTGAGGAAGGAGTCCAAGCACTTCAAGATACTGTCTCACTTCTTCCTTGAATAGAAGAACGCTAATGTCTGTTCCAGAGGGAATGTTGCAAATTGAAAACCAAACAATTATTACTGATCTTTGGTCTGTTGTAACTTAAGTAAAATTACCATTGAATAGCATTCATCTTTGGAGCCTGGATAACTTAGCATCTGTCTCAATTCTGGTTGATCCCCCCCGCAGTCAGACCAATTTTATGAATTGTCTAGGCTTCTGAATGACCAGAGATGCGCAGTGGGATGTCTGCATTTTATTTTGTGACATTATTCAGCAGAGTAATTCTGCTGAATTGATTAAACGCAGTTATAATTCACTGGCTTTTTCTGCAGAATAGTCTGTCTTCTTGAGAACTTTACCGCCCATCCCTGTTGCATTTTTACCCCACCCACAAAGTTGATAGCCCCAGTGTGTTGTCACATTTTTTTCCAGCCAAGAAAGATCTGTGTTGGTCTTCCCTTTGGAGGCAGTCAAATCGCTTCATAATCAACTGAAAAAGAAAGGGAGGAAAGGCTGCTGTACAGCGGTGAAAATCATTATGTTCTTGTTCTGAAAACTAAGTTGAGTATGTTGGGTCCCAGACACACCTACCTCTTCTGTTCTGCAAAGCCAAGATTGGGGCACCGATACTGGACATAAAAACTAGACTTTTTTTGTTTAATTCCTTTTTAAAAAATAGCATTTGTTTTGCCTCTTCCAGCTTTCTTTTTGTGTTTTCTTGGTGAAGTCTTCCTGATAGAGGAATAATTCTGTAGATTTGCTGGGATGGCATTGATGCTTCTGTTAAGATGCTTCCTGCAGGTTGGCACGTGTGTTATATCCAGAGTAGAAGCTCCGCTGTTGGCTTTTCAGACTGCAAAAATTGTGAGCCTTTATGCAAACCAAAAGGAGTTTAATGACACAGATGTTAATTTTTTGTAAGTTATGTGAGAATGAGAGAGAATATTCAGATCACTGTACACCTCTAGAAGTGTAACGGAAGGTGGTTCTTCTCACCTATCTGTTTTATTTGAAAAGTGCTATCACATTTGTAGGAAACTAAGTAACAGTCTGTGATTTGAGAAACAGAGGTTAATATCCAGGACAACAGTATCCCCTTTGGCCGTGGAGTCTGAGACTCCATTTCTAATAAACAGCAGTAGCTTCTTTGTCTGTAAATAGCAGTTAATAAAAGTGTTATGTGTTTACAGGAATCCTACAGGCAAGTCATGAAGATGAGGCCAAAAGACCTGTGGAAACGATTAATGATAAAATTTCGTGGGGAGGAAGGCCTCGATTACGGAGGAGTTGCCAGGTAAACAGTCCGTCCTCTGTCTCTTCCCCTGCACCCCAACCCCACCAGCTACACCCGTGCTTTGAATCCTGAGCCAGCCTTGTATCAGCCTTCTTTCTTTTTCCATTATTCTTATTTATATTTATCTCGGTAACAGATTGTATGTCAGGAGAATATATTTTCAGTCAGTCTTTTAAAAGAAAAACTGCATCAAAAAAGAACTAATTTATTGCAAATAAATCAAAATGCTTGTTACAGATTGCATCAGATGTCTATCATATACGCGTGACAGGCTTTTGGTATCTTTTGAAATTACCGTGTTTTTCTTCAGTTAGTCAAGCTTGGGTATCTGAGAATTTATATCACTAAATACTCAGCTTTGTGGCAGAAGTTTGATAAAAAAATATGCTTTATTGCAAATTATCACTACTGTTTGAAGCAAAATGTTAAAAACTAGCAGTTCGTAGGCAACTAAAGTCTGTCAGTGGTCTGAGGTTATTTTTCACTTGCCTATAAAAAGTGACATTTGTTGATTGAGTGAAGATACTCTTCGCGTTTTAAAACACTGTTAGGAATTGCGGGCCAATTGCACGGGTGCTGGTCCACTTCACTGAAAATATTCCCTACCTCTGGCATGTGGATCGGCTTTCTCTAGATGAGTGCTGACTCATTTAGGAGTATTCACTGTTTGCATTGCGCTGCATTTTTTTACCATTAGTATTCATTTCGAAGTACAGACGATGCTCCCAAACAGCCCATCTTCTGCGTCTGTAGTTGGTGTATGGCGAGTAACCTCTGGGACCGCGGCTGTTACGTTGCACGTGTCTTCATGAGTTTGCACACGGCCAACAGGGTTTTCACTTCATCCATTCCTAAATATTTGAACATGCTGATTAGCCATAACTAGTAAAACAGACTCGTTGAATCAATTACTATTAATTGTTTGATGATAGTAGTAGTGTTTAAAATAAAGACGTTACAGACGTTATCGTGCGCTATTTTCCAAAGCATCTGCTAGTATTTCTCGGCATGGGTTTTGTTTCTAGTCTGCGTGCTGTGGAGCCTTTGTCATCTTCCATACGTGAATACAGGTAGACCACGCTAGGAAGCGTTAGGCTTTTCCCAATTTAAGAATTTTATTTATCCCATTTTTTACATCCAAAAATTTTACATACATCTCTTACATCCAAAAAATCCCATTATGTACTGATTTGTGAACAATTAATTAAAACTTTAACTAAACATATCCATTACCTGAAGATGGTTTATATCAAAAACTTTGACTCGAACATCTCTGTAGTATAGTCGATAGAATACATAGTGTCTTGGCTTAGTGTGTAACGGATGAAGGAGAATCATAGTCAGAAACTCTCTTGGAAATAAGTAACCTGGAGAAAAATCTTGGAAAGCTGGGAAATATGTCAGTTGTCAGGTGCCGTGGAGTTACTGAGCCAGTAAAAATAATTCTGCTTTCAGCATGTTCAGAGATCACTTTCTTCACATTTATGTTTAACAGCAAGATTAAAAAAATCACACTATTTTGAAAAGATTCTCAGTGTAGGAATGCATTTGTCTAAAGTACACAATGAATTATTTTATTTTCTTCAGGGAGTGGCTCTACCTGTTGTCACATGAAATGTTGAATCCATATTACGGTCTCTTCCAATATTCCCGAGATGATATCTATACACTGCAAATCAACCCAGACTCTGCAGTCAACCCGGTATGACTGGTAACATGAGTTCTGTAAATGATTGTTTTGTGACTAGAAATTAAATACATCTGGAGAGTGTTCTGGACTTGGGAACCTAATTCTCACATTAGTATTGCTAGAGAATGAATTTGTGCAATAATATAATTTATTTTTAAAATTGATCAAAGAAACTTCTCAAATGTGCTCTTAAGTTTCTGTAAGATGTCGATTTATGTTTCCTTTGGGAGAAATTAAGTTTATTTTGATTCTTAGTAGTAAGACTTCTGGACTGGAAGCAATATATTCAATGTGCTGTGTGTAAAAACAAACAAAGCAAAACAAAAAGCTCTGGATATGTTGGTGTGGTTTTTTTTTTCTTTTCTTTGTATTGAAATTGTATTTCATATTCAGCAGATATAACCTGGAGGGCTTATTTAGCTGAATGGCTCAGTCTCTTCTTTCAATTCTAGGAACACTTATCATATTTCCATTTTGTTGGACGGATAATGGGGATGGCTGTGTTTCACGGACACTATATTGATGGGGGCTTCACGTTGCCTTTCTATAAGCAGTTGCTAGGGAAGCCAATTACTTTGGATGATATGGAATTGGTTGACCCTGATCTTCATAACAGCTTAGTCTGGATACTGTATGTACTGCGTATTGTATCTTACAACGTTAGAATTCTGTCTCGGTTAACATGTGATAATGTTCCTAAATCCAGTTGAAAGAAATGAAGTGTATTTTGATCTCCTGCTCAGGCAGATTTAAGAAACATCTTTCTTGCACAATTCAGCTTCTTTAAAGGCTTAACATGCTCAAGGTATTCAAATTTGGGGGGTGGGGGTGGATGGATAAATGATTACTGAGATGAAAAGTACTCTGTTCATAAATTTTAATTTATTAATTTTGCCTATTAGCAGTAACATGTTATTTAAAATATAACATTGAAACTTTGATAATGGTTTTAAAATACAACGTAGTAAAAATGCGCGTTCGCCTTTTGCTTCCAAGCAGTAATTTGAAATGCTCTTGAAAAACTAAATTGTGATGTCTGTCAGATATATTACGGCTGTAATACACTTACATGTTTTCACTGAGTCACTTGCTTATTTCTTTCCACCAGTGAGAACGATATCACAGGAGTCTTGGACCATACGTTTTGTGTAGAACACAATGCATACGGGGAAATTATTCAACACGAACTGAAACCCAACGGCAAAAGCATCCCCGTGACAGAGGAAAACAAAAAGGAGTATGTCAGGTACCTCAATATCTATTCCAAAGTTTTTTTTGTATTTCCTATGGTGGGGAGGAACTTTTACTTATTTGAAGTAATTGACAGTGTATGTTGTTGGGTTTTTTTCTAAGTGGTAGTGCGATGCTGGTGGTGTGTGTATTCCTGTCAGTAAGGCCATTTTTTTGGCTGGGTAGATTGCAGGTTTATTGTATGTGAATACATCTCTCACAAAACCAATTTGCACTTGCTTGCAGACTTTATGTAAACTGGCGATTTTTACGAGGAATTGAAGCTCAGTTTCTGGCTCTACAGAAGGGATTTAATGAAGTAATCCCACAACATCTGCTGAAGACATTTGATGAGAAAGAGTTAGAGGTCAGTCCACTAATGTTACGTTATGTCATCAAGTGTAACAATGAAAGCCTGAGGCATTCTTCTGAGACTGAGTAACATGCGGAGTTGTATCCCCAGTGCTTTAGGGGTTTGCAGGTGCGCTGTTACAAGAAATACAGTTAGCGTAAGAGGTTACCAGGTCACACAGTCACTGAGACTGCGTGTGCCTTCCACTGAGAGCTATGAGAGTGATCTCAAGGCGACATTTCGTAGCAACTGCAGAAGTGGTAGCAGAGGAGACGCTCTCCTATACCTGAAAACGCAGCTGAACCTACTGAGAAGTAACTGCGGTGACCTCAGATGGTTTCAGTGTGCTACTCCAGCAGAGGTGGTGGTGCGTGTTTCTGACGGTGCAGTTTCACAATATTAAATTCGGTGCTGCCAGGAAAATAGTCTGTCACTCCCTCCCACCTCCCACCACTTGCTCCCAGCCCTTCCAGCGCGCTGCACCGACTTTGGTGTCGGGCAGCTATGTGGTTTTGCAGAGCCGAGTTGCGCCAGACTAAATTGGCCCTGTAAATACAGCATAAGGAAGGGTGCTGTCTGGTGCTGTCACCGACAAATGTGCTACAAAACGTCAAGATCGGCATCCAAACAATATCCTCTCAAGGCAAATCCCATAGATCCCAAGCTTGTTTTAAAACTGAAATCTAATACACAGTCTGTTAGCTGTGGAGCTGAGGTTTTTGCCATATAAAATGGCCACAAGGTAAATTATTCATGCTTTCTTCTGTTCACTGTACTAGAATGTCAGTGATGGCTCTTCTTTTATCCTGAATATTCTCATTCAACAGCAGTGAGCCAGCCGTACTGTTAACCCAGAATCATTTTGCAGATGCAGAATAAGAAAGGGGAGGGTCCAATGTTCTTAGTCGCTAGAAAATGCCTTCATAATCATACCCCTGTTGAGCGTAAACTGATCCATCGTGGATCTCCATTTTAGAAGCGCTGAAAGCTCTTCATCAGGAGAGAAGTCTGATTTGTATTACATGTGTGGCGTGACAACAAGAAGATTACTTTTGAGGGTCCAGAGTTGGACCGGCCAAACTACACCCTCAGCTACGCTCCAGAAAGAAATACTGAGTTCAGATGTGAATTATGCATGCACTTGCACACATGGGTAGAATCTGTGCTTCTGTTATTTAACTGACAGGTCAAGACACTTCCATATAAGCTTATGAAATGGTTGATTGTTGTTTTTTTTTAATTTGAATGGAGGCCGTGTAAAAAATGGATTGTGTACAAAGGTAAGACAAAAAAAAAAAGAAAAGTTATATTTCTGCATTGCTTAAGATTAGTGAGAGGTTATAATTTGCCTTTGGTATAAAATCTGTCGATTTTTCGATATCAGTTATTCATCATTTGGCTAGCTCCAAAACCATTTTTATATTGATCAATGATGAAATACTTAATTGTATTTTAAACTTACAGCTCATCATTTGTGGACTGGGAAAAATTGATGTTAATGACTGGAAGGCAAATACTAGGTTAAAACACTGTACACCAGACAGCAACATCGTGAAATGGTTCTGGAAAGCTGTGGAGTTTTTTGACGAAGAGAGGAGAGCGAGACTTCTCCAGTTTGTGACTGGCTCATCCAGAGTGCCTCTGCAGGGCTTCAAGGCATTACAAGGTAACGTTCTCCAGAAGTAACTGCAAATGCCTGTACTTGGAGGAAGCAATAGGACACATCACAGAAACATTAGCTGAAAATGAGGCTGGTTGGCTGTAATGTGACTTTTTAAGAGCGATTTTTAATGGTCTGATGAATAACAATCACAAATAGTCTTTTCTGTGTGTTTGTTTATTACCTTGTTATTCAGCTGTAAATAGCTCTTTTGTTTAAATTACGCACTTCCTTCTCTAGCGAGAAGTTCCGATCAGCGGAGATGTTGGTGGGGTTCTCCTTATGTTTTTTCTGGAAGCCTGCTTTTTAATTTCTGTCTTTCACAAGGCCTCATCACCTGTACAGCTCTGGGACCAGGAAACACCAACATGCAGTGTTCTTGCGGTTCTGACAGCAGAGGCACTTCGTAACGCCGACTACTTTCATTGTTTTCTTTTTCCCCTGTTCTTGAGCTCTGAAATGTTCAGGCGTGTTAGAAGCTCAGGAATATTGAGGTTTTTAAGACCCCAGTTACTTTAAGCAGCGCTGCTTGAAGTGATAAGCGTTTAAGTAACATTGCAGAGGGTGGAGGGACTTGTTCAGGCACATTGTGTAACTGTTAACCACCTCAGAATAGCTACGAGTAGTTATTAACCCTACTGTTGATGTGCATATTGTCAGTGCAGTGGAGTGAGCTGTTTGGAGAACGGTAATGGAAGTAATACCAGTTTAACTTCATCTGTGCTGCAAGTTTTAGTATGATCGTACAAGTAAATCAAGTATTTCTGTGAGCAAATGAAGCCTGCTTTCCTACAGATTTGAACGTGAAGGTTGTCAGGTTTTAGACCGCGTTGTACTAACAAGGCACAAGCTCACGTTCTTACTTGGCCGCAGAGTCTCCAAGAGAAAGACTGACCCTGTAGGTTATATTCTTTAATGTCTGTCTACTCAGGCAAGAATTCCAGTTTTACTAAGGTTAGGGCATTTGTAACCTCTTCTGTCCTTTGTGAAATCTTCAACGTATACTAAGTCTGAAAGATTGATGTGCTGCAGCCTTTTCTTTAGCAGAGAGATTAAGGGGATCTCTGTATAGTCAGACTCACTTAACAAAATTACAAGAAGTTGGTATTGTGACTCTTCTACCTAATTTGAATGGAACTGGCCGCTACTCAAGACCTGTTATAAAATGGGGACAGATACAGCTGCGTAAGTTTTGTTCTCTAGGAAGGGTGAGAGAAGTTAAATTAAAAACTGTGAGAATTAGATAGTGCCCTGTGTAAAACAGGTATTTTATTCTTCCTTATCAGTGCTTTGTTCTTGTTTATCTTTCAATGGTTTAAATAACAGCATGGTTATCGTGTGTGGGTGGAGGGGAGGAATCTGTCTGATAGGCACTGTGGGTTTGTTTTAATTTTTTTCCTGCCTGTTTATGATTTCAGCTTTCTGTGTGCATAGCTTCTCTCTCTCTGTGGTTTTAGTGACTTTTTTTTGTTGTTGCACTGCAAGGAAGAAATTTCCTATTATGCAATACAGTAGTAGTAGAGATCTCTTCTGGATTTTCAGGTGCTGCAGGCCCACGACTATTTACAATACACCAGATTGATGCCAGCACTAATAATTTGCCGAAAGCTCATACCTGGTAAGACTTTTTCAGGTCCCTATTGCGATACATAGATTAAGACCAATTTGCCATCTCTGTATTTTGAGCAGTCTTCCCCCCCGCCTCTCTGGCTTAATAAATGCTCTCCGTTGCAGAGTAGTAAAGGTGTGAAAACTAGAGATTGCTTTTAATTATATGAAGTTCTGTTGGCCTTGTTCAGTGTTGCTTTGTCATGGTTTCAGGTACGTTAAATGCAGCCTAACAGAACTTTGCTAGGTGATGCCTGAAGTTCCAGATAGCTGAAACTCTTCTGCCTTCTTCCCACAGCTTTAACCGAATAGACATTCCTCCTTACGAAAGCTATGACAAGCTATACGAGAAGCTGCTAACTGCCATTGAAGAAACATGTGGGTTTGCTGTGGAATGACCCTTCACAGGCTTACCTGAGACTCTATTTATACTCCTGTCAGACAGAAAGCCCTTCCCTCAGCCAAGACTCAAGAAATGCTTGAAATACAGGAAACTTTCCCTTTTCTACACTAGGACACTGGGAGGGAAAGGACAACTTTGGAATTTTTTTTTTAATTTTATTTTATTTCAAGAAAATAGGTTCTGTGGTTCCTGCCATAGGATCATTCAGCTGCTATTAAAAACTAATATCTTGAACATACAGAATGCTGACTTTTCCTACATTTCAACAGTTAAGCAGTGTTCTATACTTAAAGACTACTACTATTTTTGTAAAAGGTAATCTATTATATTTGCCTACCTGATTTCTATTCTCAGATACCAAGACACAACTTCAGCAGTCGGTACAAGTCACGTTTCAGCCTGTTTTAAATGTATGATACTGAACAGTATCTATACCTGCTATTTTTGGAAAAAATATTTTGGATTATTCTAACTTCGCATAAAATTGGCTGAAAGAATCATTAATCTTTTTAATTAAAGCCACTTACATGTTAACTGCATTTTCTTATAGTAAAACATTATATTCTGCAATGTAAATTCAACTTAAATGTTACCACAGGGGGCTTTTTTATATTTTTCAAGCATGAATTGCAAATACGATGTTTTGGGGTCCTATTTATATCACTTGTCAGATTCCTTAAACAAAATTTCTAGTGTGAGTGACACATGCTGTATTTGGTACAGTACTTGTGTTAACATGTGGAATAGACCTTTTTTAATGAACAGTAGAAGTTTTGATTTTTTTAAAACAGCATTTTTCTAACAAGTCTGTCAAGAGTACTTTTTGTTGCTTTTGACTTTAAATTTAAACACTGCATTTTTCAACTTTTTTAAGCGTGCTGATGAGGTGATATTTGACAGCAGAAGCCTGTCAGCAGTTCGTTTCAGAACCCATCCTGTCCAGTCAACCAAAGCTTGTTTGAATGCAGCCAAATCACATTATGTATTTGTTGATGCTAAAGATTTATCAGGTAAAACACGTTGTAATCTTTGTCTAGCTGCTCATGACATGTGGGTTTAAGTTACAACTAAGGAAAAATGGTGTATTAACTGAAATATGTGTAATGTGCTTTGAAAATGAGGTTTTAGAAGCACATAATTTATTGATTGTAGGGATGGAAGTAAGGTATATATATGAATTATAACATGGGTTGATCTCTTCAAAGGGGAATAAAATGCACTACCAGTAGAGGGAACTGAACTTTGAAGTTAGTTTGGGAATTCTCAGCTAAGATCCGTATGATCTGCTCATGGTGTGTAGCTAAATCAGTCTGCTTAAGAGATGGTGGCATTCTCCTCTCAGCGATGAGAATATTTGGAATAAGTAGCGTTTTTTTTCCAATCAGTGTTGTGGTTTTTTAACTTACATTACAGTTAATCATCAAATCTGCACTATTTTTACACTGCCAATGAGAAGAAAGTCAAGAGTATTGAAAATGCTAAAAGAATGGGATGTAAACAGCTGTTCCTTTTTTGCTGTGTAAGTCACCCAGCGAACTAGCTAACTTTGTCTGTTCTATGGAGCTTGAACTTAATTTTGTCCTGCCAAATCTGACTGCCACAGTGAGTAAACTACTACTGGATGCTGTGTATTAGAATAGTGGGCAATGGACTACTTTTGTAGAATTTGTGGTAAGAATCCGGTGAGCCAAATCCACATGTTCGTTTGATTAATTTTTTTTTTTACAGCTGTTGCTGGAAGGTTTGTTCTAAGAGACTTGCTTCCCATTCTGGGCTGGCTGCAGAGATGAGGCTACTTAGGGATGTAAACAAAGCCAAGAAACTTGCTTTGACAGCCAGGTTTGAAATATATCAGACCCTTTTTTCCTTCGTTTCAAGGGACTATTGCACTCATGTAAAATGGCTGGTACCTTTGCATCTCCAGTTGGGACCCCTAATTCACAGCTTTCGGGTAATACTGTTACCGGGGAAGCTACCGCTACATCTGTCCAGGTTGCCTGGGGGAGCAAAGGAGGCTGTTGCCCGGTGTGTTTCTTACTCAGTACTGCTGCCTGTGGTTGGGGACCACTGCTTTAGACACTCCCAAAGGCCTCTTCTCACCCCTTCAAGTTTTGAGGTATGATGTGAATTACTATTTACAGAGACTTTACAGAGGCAGGTTCTTTTGACCACTGTTCACAGGATAGATACTCCAGTGTTGTATCAGTTTTTTTGGGGACCGCTGCTTTAGACACTCCCAAAGGCCTCTTCTCACCCCTTAAAGTTTTGAGGTATGATGTGAATTACTATTTACAGAGACTTTACAGAGGCAGTGACCACTGACCACTGTTCACAGGATAGATACTCCAGTGTTGTATCAGTGATTTTTTTACCCCCCCCCCTTAAAGTTTTGAGGTATGATGTGAATTACTATTTACAGAGACTTTACAGAGGCAGGTTCTTTTGACCACTGTTCACAGGATAGATACTCCAGTGTTGTATCAGTGTTTTTTTTTAACCCCCCCCCCCCCCCCCGGCTCTTGCTCAGGCTATGGCTGCAGCCTCCCTGGTCATGAAACATGAAAAATGTAAAATCCAGTTTGATCCAGCTTTTGGGAGAAGCCAGGACTCCGTTAGGTGATTCAAGGGGGAGGGTATGCTGCTGTTCCCTTTGCGCCAGACAGCTCACCTCAGCACTATTGAAAGACTGTCTCTGTAGTGTCTCCTGACCACGTCATCTATACCCGCCTCCCAGGAACCTTCTCCCTGTCAGCCTACTTAGGCTGGTAAATTTATTGAACGTGTAGTTATGGCCACCCTTGTGTCAATAAAAGCGTTTCTGAAGAGGGAGGAGATGAGCTCTGCAGAATATAGACTCTAGATCAGCTGATAAATACCATTCATTTTCACAGCAGCCTTAGCAGTGTATCTGTCTGTTCTACCAAACATTTCGGTATGGCATAGAGAATTTAACTGCCACAGATAAAAATTGTAAATTTAATATATTACAGGCAAAACTAGACAAATCTGCATTTGACTTTCCATAGGTGGCAGATGAGGATGAATACACCAAGTATTTTGAGTGCCTTTCTACCTTTGTAATGACTGAGAGCTTTAACTAAAGCACCTCATCACCTAGTCAGATGTTTATCTGAAAATGTCAAAGGGTTGATTCCTTTGCAAAATTTTGTTTCGAGATCATGTCAGCTACTTTCCCCTCAAAAAGGTGCTAAGCCTAATATTGCATTTTAACCTTGGACTTTCACCCCATGATTAATGTGAATATTTATTTCAATGTGTCCCTCTTACTGGGTTTTACGTTATCCAGTCTTTAGTTGTTTTCGAGAGATGTCACATCATGGTTTTATGCTGTTGCTTTTCATTATGAATGTTTAATTATGAACAGTGACTTTTGTAGATTTCAAATATACAGTACACAGTTGAGTTTCAGAGGATTTAATTTCTCGGTGTAAAGAGTTTTGTAATGGTGCTTTGTACAGTATGTATTCTAATTTTTTTTTTGCACATAGTTTCAGTTTCCCTAAACTGATTTATTTGTACCAAATTTTTGTGTTGTACTAAAGTCCAGAGCACACAAGCCGTTTTTAAATTCTTGTTCTACAACACTACATCTGTATTGAACTTCTGGTGCGTTTAAACTGGCTGCATTGATGGAAGTAAAAGCTTTGCTTCTATATCATAAGTATGCATCATACAGCTTAATGTAGCATGCTCCAATTGCTTCAGATTTTAAACAGCACCATATAGTTAACAGGTGCCATTTGTTGTACTTTACACTATGTAGTAGGTTTCTGGCTCTACCACATCATCAGAGCTTTGTCTGTAGTTGTAATTAGTTTATACAAGTGTAATTACTCCTCCACAAACTGACAGTTCTTAGTTTATCATTTCCATTGTATTTATTACAGAGTGTTTTAGCATTGATATCATTGTATTTTCACCCAGCTGTTACATGAGCTTTAACAAAAAAAAATCTGTATAAAATGGTTTTTAAGTACTTAATGTATGTACCCATGCAGAAGTTGAGCAATAAATTGTATGCTGTTTGCACTGTCACAGCATCAATGGTTTTAAAAGTTTTAAGTTTTTCTTAATTAAATGTTTACTTTAAAATGTAACTATCATTTTTAAGTAACTCAGTTTTTTTTCAGAGAAAATACTTAAAACTTGGTGTCTTTCTACATGCTGTCACTTCCAGTAAGGATTGTGCTAAATGTTCTAGTCAAACAAAAAAGGTCTTACTTTTGGCTTTCATGTAATGGTGTACGTGTGTCTCGGCAAGGACTTTATCTCGGCATTGGTGAACGGATGTCTCCTCTCAAAATTAAGCAAAGCTAAACCATCTTCCTTAAGGGAAGAAAAAAGGTAAATAAATTTGGTAAAGAGTTGTTAAATTTGATCAACTTAGCTGGTAAATATTGTCCCTTAGATAAAGACTTCAAATCAGCCTGGCTTTCCAGGGAGTTGCTGTAAGGGTTGTTAAGAAAGGTGGTGTGTGGGCTTCTGGTTTTGTGGAGGTTTTTTGTTGTGTGGTTTTTTAAAGTGAGGTATACATGCTCTAACTGCCAGCTGTTTTGTTTAATCTGTAAAGGAAGCATCTCCAGCTGCTGGTGGCTTTTGTTTCTCCTTAGCTCTTTTTTTTTCTTTTTTCTCTTCCCAATGCATGAGTCTTAATTCACTGTGGTGTCAATTCCATAAGAGACACCATCTCATGGCAAGCTTTAAATACTGTATATCCAATGCAATTAATTCCAGTATGTTTATATCACTTCTTGCACATGCAATTTTAAGCAAGAACTCTTCTACTAGAGCCTGTTTAAAATTACACTTTAGTTCATCCTCATTACCAAGACAAGCTATTTAAAAATTGCGATTTTGTCAAGCCCATTATATCAGTAATGGGCTTCATGTAATTTGTTCTCAGTTTAAGTACTCATCCCTCTGTGTTTGCATCTCATAGGGTCCATAATGCATGGCTGCTGAAACTTGAATTTTCTACTAAACAATGTACTGTTCATAGCACATGATGATTCTACAAAGATAGGTGGAGTGCCTGTCTAGAAGCAGACCTTACATCCTGAAGTAAGGTAAAAGCTAAATGTTGGAATTTTTAATCACTATTTACTCCAGCTTCACACTGACAGAACTAGAACCAATCTGCTTCTCCCTAAAAAAACTAGACAGGGTACTAAACGCAAGTACCCTTGCAAAACTTTTGTCCAAATAATCTGCTTCTAAGAGCACACATGGTAAACTACTTAGGTTGTTATTGCTTGCCCATTTGTATATAGCATTACTGTGACTCCCTTTTGGAATAGATCAATTGAAACAAAACTTTGCTTGTTTACGTGTAGTTTTGAAAACCCTGTGTGAAATCCAACAATTGCAATACCTGCAGAAACACCTACAGAGCATACACCTATCCGTATACCCCTGCTGAAAATAATTAGGAATGCTGTCCACAGGTCCTTCCCAGGTTTCAGTTCTTGCAGAAGCTTGTATTTTACTGCTTTAGAATAATTTTCATTGTTTTCTATTTCAAACTACTTCTTCCAATACAGTTGTAGCATAGGAAGTAGTACTCTATATGCTTTGCCATTAACAAGCCAGCAACATAGTATTGTGTAGAATAAGTAGCCCTCCCTTGCTTAATATATTAAAATTACTGATTTTTATGTCAGGTTTATTGCAGGTACTCTCTAACTTGTCCTTCCAAAGGAAACTTGAACCACTGATGTTCTTTTAAAGATCTACTTTTCTTTGTGAGCTTTCCACTCCAGTAATTTCTGGCTAATGGTAGTAGTGTGGCTTTTCAACTCCAGCAATAAGAACCAGCACAGGTGTAGACGAGGCTTAGCATTCAACTGTTTTACTAAGATAACTTCACTAAAGCACACTGACTTCATCCCATGTCCTTTGTGTGGAGCTCAACGTTATCTCAGTCTTGCCAAGAAGGTAGAAAGTAGTTTAAAAACTTTATTGGTGATCATAAAAGTGCTGTAGAGATCCCAGATACCAGCAGCTACACCTCTGATGGGTCAAAATGACAGACCCGATATTTTAGAGAAAAACAGCCACACACCATCTTCCTGTTACAGCAGGATTCTCATCATGTTAGCCAGCGAACTGCAGTGATATTTACCGTAAGTCTTACAAGAAACGGCTTTTGCTATACTGAAAAGAAGCCATCTGAAGTCTAGATTTCAGTCTGTCTGCTTCTAGTTCTTGAAAAAAGGTGTCATCATCACTTTGCATTATTGCTGCTTGCAGTTGCTGTATTTCCTTTTCCATCCTTGATCTCAATTCTCTTTTTGTCTTCTGTAGCATCTAAAGAAAACACAGACGTTAGCCACAACACGTAAAAAGAAAAGACACTTACACAAAATTAAAAATACTTACTTGTGCTTGTGCTTTTTCTCTGGTTTGGATTTCTTGGTGTTCTTGAGATAAAGCTTCTGCTAGCATGGAAAACTAAGCATAACACGTGTTTGAGTTGAACCAATTAAAGAAAGGAAAGACTTCTAGTGTAAAAAAAATATTAACTGTCTTCACAGATTAAGCTTTACCTGATCTTTGTAATAGTTCTCCATAGACTCCAACTCATTTTGATGCTCTCTCCTTTGTTCAGCACGCTTCTCTCGAGCATATGCTCTCAGGTCCTTCAGTCTTTGCTTCTGAATTTCTAAGCCTTCTTCAAATAAGTTTTTAAATATCTGTCGGCAATTAAAAAAAGCAAACCTAAAACTTTCCCAGAAACTTTTAAGTATACGTTTACATTTTTCAGCTGCTTTATCTCCTGATGGCAGGGTGATCACATGAAGATAGGTCATTGCCCATGAAAAAGCACACAGTTATGTATCCAGTCATGGTGGTACAGATACAGCTGAGCTGTATTTGTATTACTCATTTAGCTGAAATTCTGATATATAAAATAAGTTTTTCATGTCAGTTTAGTCACATGACTAAGAAAGGGGCTAGAACAGCAAATGCACATTGCATTTTTAAAATCGCTTCAGACAACCCAACAATGCAAGCCAGTCTTTGAACATGCACTGTGATCTACAGCCCACCCTACATTCTGTTGTCTAACTTCAGGACCTTCATCCAGATTTGCGATAGCAGGAAATCCAGCCTGTACTCAGGCTTTCCATTCATACAAAAG